TACAACGAAAGGAGACTGCGACCACACAAAAGGCCACACCATCTTGGTCTTCATATCTTCGATCAAAAATAATTTATATTGAACACATATTTATAAGGCCAGATATATAATTATTTTTATGGTTGAAGACTATGAAAACAAAAATATTAGCTAAATATGCTACGACGATTTATTTAATATAAAACCCAAAAATTAATTTATCAAAACTTTTATAATACAAAAAAACTATGCACTTAGAGCATCTTCATCAACTTTGGTGTATAATTTTGATATAAAGACATCCACCAGAACCTTTTCGTACTAATTCTACTGATATTTTTCATGTACTCTCTTGGTGTGTCTCTCTTTATGCGTGTATCAACGCCACAAGAAGTCTTGAAAATCATCTTTGTATACTGCCTTGTCTTTTAAAAGTAAAAAGCAAGTTGCTTGGCTCGGTATTGAGCCTATAATAATGATAAGATAAATACATAAGTGAATTATCATTAAAAAAAACTAGTTCGTGATATAAACTCATAATATGAAATAACTATCGACTTGATTAGTGATAGTTTTGACTAATAGCAGTCGTACTTACCCTGTAGAGACCAGGGTCTATTAGACTATCGTCTCTACCTCCTCCACTATCTCTCGAAGAAATGTTTTGCGCTATTGCTGGCCTTCGAGATTCACCTAGTCTGCCCGGCGGGTTGCTCGTTCGTGCTCGTCGCTGCTCGTGTCTACTCCTATCTCTTGATTCTTCCAATTCCTTCTCTCCAACTTCTCTGCGCTTCTCTTCAGGCCTCCGGCGCGAAACTTCCCTTTCCCGGTAGCGATCACGATCACGAATCCGGTCATGGTCACGGTTGCGAACACGACCCTGTTCCCGTTCTCGATCCCGATCTTTAGATCGCTCTGAATTGTCACCCGATCTGTCACGTTCGCGCTCCCGAGTGGAGACATGCCCTAACTCCTCGCGACTCTCAGCAACTTCATGAGGACGTTGTGATCCATTTGCCTGTTGAATTCGTTGAGCATCTCGCTTGACTCCATCCGATTCACCAGCATCTCGAAGAACTAGAGGAGAACGACGTCGCGACCTACTCCCTAAACCACGTATCGAGTCAACCATGCTTCGGGAAATGCTTCGGCGTGGAAGAGAGTCCCGATCATCTTCACCTCGACGGGGTGGCG